CTTAGCAACCGTTCTTCCCGGCCTCGAGGAGGCTACCAAGGCCTCTACTTCCTCTACTAAGGCCCTTGAGGATAGATGTGAGGCGCAAATTAGGGAAATTGCTCAGCTGAAGAAGGAGCTGGAGGGGTCAAAAGCCTTAGTTGACAAGCTAAAGGCCGACAAGGCCGTGGCCCAGCACGACAACGAGAAGCTCCAGGATGCTCTTGAAAAAGCTCGAGAAGAGAACGTGTATGAGGTGGACATCGGCATTGTGCAGGGCCGAAAGTCATTCTTAAGGACTGGTATAGGCTCTGCCTTTGTCGAGGCCTATCGTAAGGAAGTCGTCAAGGCTTTCTGCAATTCTCCTGAGTTTCTCGACAAGCTTTGCCCTGCCACCGTCCAATATTTCGACCATGCTTTCGACGCATGGGAGGATGTGGTGGCGGGATCTAAGTTTGCTAGGAAACTCGACCGCGAGGCGATGAAGCGTGCGCTTCCCGACCCTGATGGTTACGAAGGCGATCCATCCCTTCCGGACGACTACCCATGGTGGTCTAGTCTCGAGGCCTAGACTATCCGAGATGCCAGGCTCTCTTATCAGCTGGAGGCTCCCTTGACTTCTCCAATCCAGTCTGACGGGCCCAGCCATGAAGAAGGTCGAGTAGTGACCACCCTCGAGGGGAGCGATGAAGACGCTGTTTCTTAGTTGTTCTTTTGGGCTTGTTGCCTTTGATTTTTCGTGACTTTTTCTGTCATTTATTCTTATTGTTCGTTTTTGTCTCGATCTGGTTCTTCATATTGTAAAGGTCGAGGCGACTCTTGTAATGAACCTATTTTAAATGCTATCTTTCGTTTTATTTTTACTTTTGTCATGCACCCGCAACATTGTATTTATGAATTAATCGAGACTTTACTTACAACTTCGTAGCTGTAAATTTATCGATACCGCATTTGCTTATATACTGTAGTTAGAATGACTTTTCAGCCGCAGGCGTTATAGCCTTGACGGGTTCTGCTTGAGACGACTTTGTAATTTTTTAAATCGACTTTTGTAGTTGCGGGCTTTATAGCCTTGCCGAGATTTCGCTCGAGGCATACAACGTTGTAGTTGTTTGAGTCGACTTTTGTAGTCGTGGGCTTTATAGCCTTGCTGAGATTTCGCTCGAGGCATACAACTTTGTAGTTGTTTGAGTCGACTTTTGTAGTTGTGGGCTTTATAGCCTTGCCGAGATTTCGCTCGAGGCATACAACGTTGTAGTTGTTTGAGTCGACTTCTGTAGTCGTGGGCTTTATAGCCTTGCCGGGATTTCGCTCGAGGCATACAACTTTGTAGTTGTTTGAGTTAATCGGCTTTATAGCCGTTCCGAAAGACTTGATTTTTCTAGTTATAATAAAATCGACATGGAAATGTAAAAATCACAACTTAAACATAAAATTGGGAGTCATTGCATTACTGAATTTGATTAGCCATTGTTCAGTACAAAAAGAGTTCGAAATACTATCTTAGGCATAAAAGCGTTTGAGATGAATCACGTGCCAGGATCGCGGCAACGGTCGTTCTTCACCATCTTCGAGTTCGTATGCGCCTCTTTCAAGCACTTTGGTGATGGTATAAGGTCCTTCCCAGTTGGCTTCAAGCTTCCCGACATGCTTAAGAGCATCTGCTCGCTTGAGGACGAGGTCTCCCACTTAAAATCGTCCGGTGCGGACTTTTTTGTCAAAGGCTGCACGCATCTTCTACTTGTACTCCACGGATTGCAGTCAGGCTTCCTATCGCACTTCTTCTATCATGTCGAGGGCTTCTTTTGCTAACTCTTCATTGGTCTTTTCTGTATAGAATGTCGACCTGTGAGATTCCAAGCCAACTTCGATGGGCAATAGAGCGTCCATTCCATAGACCATGTGGAATGGTGATTGTCCTGTTGAACTTCTTGGGGTCGTCCTATAGGCCCATAGGACCGTTGTCAGCTCGTCGACCCAGGCAACAGATGCTTTTTCTAATCTTTTCTTTAGCCCCTGCAAGATGGTTCTGTTTGTCACTTCGACTTGGCCATTTGCCTGTGGGTGCGCAACTGAGGCGAATCGCTGCTTGATCCCCATGTCGATACATCACGCCTGGATCCGTTTTCCTTGAAATTGCATTCCATTATCCGAAATCAAGATCTTGGGGATCCCGAATCGACAGCAGATATTATTGAACAGGAATTGTATCATTTTGTCTTTGGTGATTTTCTCCAGGGGCTCTGCCTCCACCCATTTACTAAAGTAGTCGACGACAACTACCATGAATTTCCTTTGCCCTGTTCCTATCGGCAATGGGCCTACCAAGTCGATTCCCCATTGAGCAAAAGGGATTGGGCAGTTGATTGTCGTCATTGCCTCGGCTGGAATGTGGGGGATTCGACCATGGCGCTGGCATCTGTTGCATCCTTGTACTAATTGTTCAGCTGCTTTTCGGATCTTGGGCCAATAATAGCCTGCTCGAAGGGCTTTGCCAGCTAGGGCTCGCGATCCTATATGCGCTCCGCAACATCCTTCATGGATCTCTTTCAAGACATGATCCCCTTCTTTTTCAGAAACACACCGCAGGTGGGGTCCGACCATTGACTTTTTATATAAAATTCCTTCGATCTCAAAATATTTACTCAAATATCGGGCTGCTTTCTCTGCCTCCTGCTTATCTCATTCTGGCACTCGACTTTGTAATAGCTCGCGGATTGCTCTTCGCCAATCTTGCTTTTCGTCGACCTCTATTGTCTCACTTAGGACACTCCCTTCTAAGTGCAGTGTGGTAATATGTTCCCCATTTTTCCTTCATTCGAACTTGCGATTCTTGCGAGCCAATCGGCTCGCTTGTTCTCTTCTCGGGGCACTTGCGTCAGCTTAAAACTTTCTAAGCCTTGCACTAGGCTCTAAATTTCCTCGACTTATTTTATCATCCGATCCTCTTTGATTTCACAATTTCCCAATACTTGCCCCACAACCGGCTGCGAGTCAGAATGTGCCATGATTTCTGTCGCTCCTCCCTCGATTGCCAGTTGAATCCCCTTAATTAGAGCTTCGTATTCTGCTTCGTTGTTCGAGGCCTTAAACCCCATTCTGATGGCGAAGTCGAGCTGCTCACCTTCGGGAGATACTAGGACTACTCCCAAACCAGATCCCCTGGCTGGCGAGGACCCATCGACGTGCATTATCCATTTCTTACTTGCTCCCTTGGTCCCCTCTTGGATAAAGTCGGCTAGAGCTTGAGCTTTTATAGCTCGTCGCGGTTCGTACTTGATGGAAAATTCGCTTAGTTCAACTTCCCATTTTACGAATCGACCTGAGACAGTAGGTCGACCCAGGGTTTCTCCGAGCTGAAAATTCGTCCTTACTATTATCACATGGTTCAGGAAATATGGCCTCAATTTTCTGGCTCTGATTACTAATGTTAATGCGGCCTTCTCGACTTCGGAATATCTCGCTTCTGCGCCTTGAAGTACTCGACTTGTATAGTAGATCGGCTGTTGGGCCCCTCTAATTTCTCGCAGTAATACAGAACTTAGAGAAAATATTCCCACCGAGATGTAGAGTACCAGCTCGTCGCCCGACTCTGGCTTTGTTAACAACGGTAGCTCGCTCAGAAACTCCTTCAACTTTTCAAACGCCATTTGAGCCTCGCCATTCCACTGAAAAGCTTTTTTCTTGAGTAACTTGAAGAATGGGAAACTCCTTTCCGCAGCTCGAGCTATGAACCGACTTAGGCCTGCAATTCGACCTGTCAGGACTTGCACTTCTCTAACATTTTTTGGCGGGGCCATGTCGAGTATGGCTTTCACTTTGTCTTTATTTACCTCGATGCCTCTCCCAGTCACGACATATCCCAGGATTCGTCCTGCCCTTACTCCAAAGGCGCACTTACTTGGGTTTAGCTTCATTCCAAATGTTCTTAGTGTCATAAATGTTTCCCTCAGGTCCTCCACATGCGAGATCAAGGACCTACTTTTCACCAAGATATCGTCCATGTAAACTTCCATATTTTGCCCGATCTGCGATTTGAACATTCGATCTATTAACCTCTGATATGTTGCCCATGCGTTTTTAAGCCCAAAAGGCATGACGACATAACAATACGTCCCCTTGCTCGTCACGAAACTAACTTTGCTTTGATCCTCCGGAGCCAACAGGATTTGGTGATATCCCTGGGATGCGTCCATCATACTTAGCAATTGACAGCCAGCTCTGGAGTCGACCAACTGGTCGATTCTTGGCAGGGGGTAGTGATCCTTTGGGCAAGCTAAATTTAAATCACGAAAATCAATGCACATGCGCCACTTATTTAGCGCTTTTCTCACCATCACTGTGTTCGATATCCATTATGGGAATTGAATTTCTTTGATATGTTTGGCTTTCAGTAACTTATCCACCTCGACCTCAATTGCTTTATCGATCTCCGCCCCATGATGCCTAAGTCGTTGCTTCACGGGCTTCTTCAGGGGGTCAACATTAAGTTTATGTTCCATGACATCGGGATCGATTCCCGTCAACTCTTCAGGGGAAAAAGCAAATATGTCTCTGAATTCTTTCAATAGTCCCACCAACTGTCGACGCAACTCATCTTCCAATTCTCCCCCTATTTTAGTGATCTGCTCCTCTTTTTCCCCGATTTGAATTTCCATCAATTCTCCGTGCGGCTTAAGGTCGCTCTCCCTTTGTCTCTTTTAATTTGACATCGACTTTTTCCCTTCCTTTGCTTCCGTTCGTTGGTTCGTTCTCAGTGCTATCTGGTAACAGGTTCTTGACCGTCTCTGGTCTTCCCAGGCCTCACCTACTTTATCTCTGATGGAGAACTTCAGCTTCATGTGGTAGGTTGACACCACCGCCTGAAATGCATTGAGTGCTGGCCTTCCTAGGATCACGTTATAAGCCGACTCGACGTCGACTACAACAAATCGCACCATCTTTACCTTCCTCAAGTCGCCTTCCCCGAGGATGACAGCGAGCGTGGTTTCTCCTAGGGGGCGAATTTTGAACCATTAAACCCAAAAAGGGAGGTGTGCAGGGGTGCAAGCTCGATGTCGAGTTCCATCCATTTGAGACAATGGTAAAAGATCACATTCACCGAACTTCCCGTGTCTACAAAGATCCTCTGCACTTCATAGCTTGATATCTGAGTTGTGATCATTAGGTCATCCTTGTGAGGTCTCTCGACTTCTCCCATGTCTGCTGGCCCAAAATTCATCACTGGACCGTTTTCCTCGACCTGTTGCACTTCAATTTTCCCGTGGTGTCCTCGAGCATATGCTTTTCTGGCCCGATTTGAATCTCCATCAGTTGGCCCTTCGAATATCATGTGAATTATTCCTCTTTTCTGAAGGAGCTCCTCCTTGTCGGGTGTCCTCGCTCTCTTGCGGGGACTCTTGCTCCTCTCCCTTCGCCGACTGGTTCGATCTCGATCTTTGTAAACGAACTCTTTTAGATGGCCTGCTTTGATTAGTCTCTCGATCTCATTCTTCAGGTGCCGACATTCGTCAGTATTATGCCCGTAGTCCTTGTGGAATCGACAATACAGATCGCTTTTGGGCTTTTTCAGTCCATCCTTCCTCGTTCGTGGCCACATGACAACATTTTCGCGAATTTCTTTCTCCATTACCTCCAATATCCTTGCATTCGAGGCTGGCAGGGGGGTATATTGAGTTGTCCTCCATCCCCTTGACCGCCCCTCCCTTTTTGACTTCGGGGATCCTTTCCTTTCTCCCGTCGCGATTGGTTTTGTAATATCCCAACCTTTATCACTATATTAATAATATTTCAGTTCCAATATTATTTTTCGGAGTTAAGTATTTTCAGTCATTCAGTCAAAAATTACCGGAACTATTTTCGACGTACCGTTTACGTTTGAAATAATTTTGGTAATTTAGCGTTATGTTTAATTAGTTAATTAAACATAATTAAGTGATTAATTTAACTTAATCACGAGTTTAGCCTTGGGTTCGGATTTATTTTCCAAACCCTAGCTCATCGCCGCGCACGTTGCTATGTCCGTGCGTGTGTGTTCATGTAATGCCGAGTACCGTGCGCGTGTTCGTCCGAGGCTCGAGATACCCGTGTGCGCGTCCAGCCAAGGAAGACCGAGCAAGCATTTGTGGCGGAGTGTCCTAGGCGTACGTTTACCCGAGCCAACCTTCGCGTGGAGACCGTGCGCGCGCGTCCCTGCCGTTGAATGGGGCGGAGAATCCGAGAGCGTTCGGGAGCCGTGCATCGTGAAGTGAGATTTTGTCCCATAGCCCTCAGTGTCCGTGCGCTCATTTTTCGTCCTCTAGCC